CATTCTCAGGTTAATTCTCCAATATTTTATTCAACTGATATTATTTATTCAACTGATATCTTCTATGTGTAGGGTGCTGTGGAATATATAATAATGATTTAGAAATAGTTTTTGATTTTGAGATATTTATAGTTTATTAATACAGAAAAATTATGTAAATATAAAGAAGTAGACTAAAATACCAGGTAAAAGAATCATACAAATAATTGGAGGTTTCAGGGAAGTGAAGAATTTTCTTGGCAGGAAAAATCAGGATGCCCTTATGAAATGATGGCATTTAAGATTAATTGAAAAGTAGCTAGGGTTCAACATGAAAAATGAAAATGAATGCATTCTCAATGAATAGACACGTAAGTGGGAAGATGAAGGGACAGAAAAATGTATTAGTTGACAAGTGCTGGTTTAGCTGGATTAGCGTGACTAAAGGAGAAACATGGGCTATAAAGCTGGAAAGAATTTGGAATTCATGTGTTTGGCCGTAGGCAATAAAGAATATGGATACTTTTCCATAAGGAGACACAAAAGGTGAATTAATAGAAGAATGCTGTGATCAGAAGTTTTCTTTGTGAGGCTTGTTTGAAAGGACTTGACAATTGATTGAAGACTGGTAGCAAGGGAAATAAGTGATATTATGCCAAGATTTGAGCCTGTATTTTGAGAAGGATATAGGTTCCATTTCTAGATATAGAGAATCAAAAGGAAAAGATAGTTTTGGAAGTAAGATAAGCACAATTTTAGATATATTAAATTTAGAGTTAATTTCAGATAGAAATGTTTGGCAGGCAGTAGAAAACGTGAAACTAGAGTTGGGAAAGAAAGGGTTAAAATAAATACCTGACAAAAATGGCTAAATAACATCATATTTGGTGATCATTTTCTCAGGTTTAACAAATTTGTCATGGAAAATTTAGATGTTATTATTTTAAAATCATTTTTATTTTTATTTTCTATTATGAGGCCTTTGATTTATAAGCAAAAACAAAACCAACTTCCTTTTTTTTCTTTTTGGAGTTGGAGTTTCACTCTCGCCCAGGCTGGAGTGCACTGGCACTCCAGGACCACCCCAGCATTGACCTGCTGGGCTCCGGCGATCCTTCTGCCTCAGCCTTCCAAGTAACTGGAACTACAGGCCTGTGCTACCACACCCGGCTAAGTTTTTAAAATTTTATTTGTTTTAGAGACCAGGTCTCGCCAAGTTGCCCAGACTGATCTTGAACCTGTGGGCTCAGGCAGTCCACTCGCCTCAGCCTCCCAAAGTGCTGGGATTACAGTCTATGCTACCAAGTCCGGCCACAAAATCAACTTCTAAATTTGCTTTTCATGTTGTATAAATCTATGTGCAGTGACATCATTTGTACATTTAGTTCCCAAACATGAGTTACAAATGTCTTTTTTTTTTTTGTGAGACTGTTATAAAATCATTAGTCATTTATGCACATTAGAAACCCAATGTCATATTGAACAAACAATTGGAAGGAAAAAGTTATATTTCCCCCAGGATATCAAAGTACACATTTCTCCAGATCTGTTGTTACAGTCAAATTGTAACTTATTATTCTTTTCCTTAGATTTGAGTAATATATATTCTAGTATTTACAGTACCATCAACGTGATTCAAACTCCATTCTTTACATCTAAGAAACTAAAATAAGACTCAGTAACATTTTAATGTTTACAATTAAATTATATTTTTAACGTATTTTAAAATCATAAACATAGCAAAGGCTTATGATGAATTTAAAAAATAGATGTGTATGAAATAGCTATAAATGTTCTTAGTTGAAGAGTTTATTACATATTCTCCTCAACTGGAAAAACTATTATGTCTTTTTATTTTAATGTGTGCTTAACCACACATATTATTCTGTAACTTTTTAAACCAAAAAGTTGTCATAATTCTGTCTCTTTTTAATTGTTTTAAAGAAACAACTAAAGGACAGTGAGAAAACATTAAAGAATCCCCATACTGTGCTTTTGGAAATGTTAATGAATCTGAATATTATTTGTGCAAAGATATTAAAATGTTATTCTAAGATCTTTGTTCATTTTTTCAAGTCACCTATGCTGAAGTCATTCTGTAAAGGCCTCCTTAAAATATGAAGCGATATCCTTAGGTAAAGACAATATGAAATTGTGTCTTCTGAAATCCTAGCTATTTTTGAGAAGTATTAGTGATTTATAAAGACATGAATCCCAAGAGACTGAGATAAACAATATTGTGTTTTATCCATTCAAACCAGATCAGCCTTTGAAGCTATATTGACACTTAGAGGAGAGAGGTTTCCAATTTTTTTGAGACTCAAGGGGATGCTAAATGTCATATGTAATAATTAGGTTTTATAATATCTGTACTGAAGGAATAGAATAGAAACATGAATACTTGGCAAAATATATATTTTCTTTTAGAATGCCTTATGAGAATAAGTAAAGCAAGATGCATACTCAGACACACAAGGACAAACTTTTCTTTTGCTTCGTATTATGACATCCTCTTGACTTAGGTCATCTTTTCATAACCTAAGATCTAGTTCACAGTGAAGGACATCAAGAGGCACATGGATGATCAGATTGCTAGGCTGGAACTCTGTTGGGCTTCTTGTTTTCTGAGAGTTACAGCCTTTATTATACAGAAGTTCTGGCCAGCCTAAGTGGTGAAATAGTAGTAAGTGAACATGGTGGGTAGTTTTTACAGATATCATCATCTTATTTGAAGGCATAAATGATGACAAAACTGGTTGCTCTCAGAGTTATTAAAAACCACAATGTAAATGAAATAATTAAATACAGAATCACAATTATAAATGAAATATCATTATTTAGTATAAATGTTATGATATATAATAAGATGTTTAAACAATATCATTTTAAACTATTTTAATTTATATTAAATTTTACTCTATATTACTGTATACTACTGTTAGCAGTAATAATCCTATCAGAAACAATGCAGAGTAGTGACTTGGAAATTCCATGTTACTTTAATTTCAGTCTCTGAATGTAGATCCTGTGCTTTTAGCTTGTTTATAATGTATTATGGACAAATGATTGATACCTACTTTTTATTTGTTTTTTCACTGATTTCCAAGCAGCATTTCCATATTTTTATGATATGTTTACCTTCTGTTTCCTCTTTTTGTAGCATTCCTACATGACTTACATTAATTGGTTAACAGAGTCAGTGAGCTTCTGGATCTTGGACTTGCTTTATATAACCCAATCTAATCATGGGGACCTTCGGAACCACTGCCACTTTCTTTTATTTGTGCCTTAACTTCAGCCCCTATTTTCCCTTAATTTATTTTGTTGCACATAGATCCTACTAATCACCAACAAATGTCTTTTTCCCTCTTGCTTCATATGATTTCTTATGCAACTTTCTTCCATTTTCTGTATTTTGCTTTAATGGAGACAGTGACCTGCAATAGTTAAGAGCTAATAGACCTGTATTCAAATGTTGTCTTGTCTTTTTGCTAGTTGTATGATTTTGGGCAAGTTAAACATTTTAAATCTCAATTACTCAATGTCCGTATCTATAAAAGACAACTCTAAGTTTATTGTGAGATTTTGGAGATTAAAGCCCTTAGCACTGCCCATAGCACATGGTACTTTATACATGCTGGGTTGTCACAGGCAGTCAGATAGTCCCTTATCCATGATCCTTAAGTTAGATGTATTTTCAGAATTTAGAATTTATAGACTTCAAAAGGTATGCATACCCATACATTACTTAATACCTCCAGGATGCTAGTCAGCATTCTTAGACAAGTTTTGAATTCTATAGGGCAATACCGATGTATGAATTTTTATACAGAAGTATTAGCATTACATTATCGGACTCTCCCATAAATACAGGTGAAATAGTGCAATCCAAACTCATTTTTGAATTTTTGGAATTGTTGAGAACTCTGAAAAATAAAAAAAGAATTCTTTATTTTTTGTATTGTAAGCTAAAATTTATTCTTTTAGTTTGACTACCTGAGTATTTTCTAGATTTTCTAAATATGAGACCACAGACACGCTAGTTCCACAACTCATCCACTTCCTAAGGTACTCTTACCAGTCAATTTCTTTTTGAGAATTAAGAGAGGCAACAAATTACAGTTATTTCGAAAGGAGCGTAATTGTTGGACATGGAAAATTAGTGTCACATTGAGAATCCCCCCTGGAATTCATTAGAATATGAAGTATTTAATAATATCTAGGGAGAAAAAGATACAAAAATCGTTTGTTTTTATTTATTCCTTTGTAATTAAAAGCTAACTACTTTTATGTATTTTAAGTCAGAAGATTTTAAAGCAAGATTTGTAGTTAAATGTAATATACTAGCAATTTTACATTGTACATTTATTTTATATAAGTATTAAAAAATTTTTTTATTTTAAGATATGGGGTACGATTCAGAATTAGGTGTACAAATGTTCATTCTGCAGATACCCTTGTTGATGAGGTGTGTCCCTCTCACCCTTGGCAATTTCCCACTACTGCCAATCCTTTTCTTATAGTATTATGATAATTGTTTAGTTCCACTTATGAGTGAGAACAAGTGGTACTCAGTTCTGTGTTTCTGTGATAGATCAGTCAGTATTATCAACTCTTAAGTCCATCCAAGTTGCTGTGAAGTTCATAATTTTGTACTTCTTTAGATACCTGCACATGCATGTTTATTGCAGCATTATTCACAATAGCAGAAACCTGGAACCAACTGTGCTACCCATCGAAAGAAGACTGGATTAAAAAAAAAGTGATATATACACATGATGGAATATTATGCAGCTATATTTTATATAAGTATTTATGGGTTTTTTTGTGACCATGTAGATTGTCTCATTGACTTATTTATATTATTTTCTTCTTCCACTAATGAGAACCTATATAGTTTTAGTCTGTTTCTTATTATAATCTATTGATTTGGGCGACTTGCTAAAAGAATAAAAAGTATAATTGAGTCATAGTCTGATAGCACATAATTAGAATTGATTCTAGTATTTTTTTATTTTTAGTGCCCTACTGAAACCAAAGCAACATTTGGGGTTCATCTGAAAATAGTAGGAGACTGGACAGGTATGTAGAATATAGAGTTTTAAGATACATGCTTTGAAAATAATGGGACATACTAATTTAAATGTGTTTGAGTAGTGTAACTTCGTGTGTATAGAGATGCATGTATGTTTCAAGCTGTTGTTTTTTTGTTTGTACAATTTTTATATCTTTGTTTCCTTCTTGTAAGATGTACTTTTAGAATTAGTATGCCTTGGAAATCAATACTTATTAATAATGTATTGTTCACTGTGTTTGCAAATCATAGGTTTCTGTCTGCTTGTTAGATGTATTGGCAATACTGGAAATGCTGCAATGTGTTTTCTAAAAAAAAAAACATGATTTAAAAATATGTGGTTGGTTTCACTCTAAAAATAATCAGTACCTGGATTGAGATCACATAAAACTTCCAATTCTTGTATGAACTTTTGTGTAGCATCTTTGTATGTATAGTAACTGCATAGCATCTTTGGAATAGTGATCACATTTAATACTATGTGTGTTGGTGATACTTTACTTACCTGTTCCCTACTGAGAGGGAGGGACATTGTATTGAGTTCTGAGTGAAATAAAGAAACATTATTTATTCATATGTTCACTTGACCCACTAGAGTGACTGAAAAGTGAGAACTTGGTTGATTGGGTGAGAATCAAGGAAAGACTTGTAGGTACTTGAAGACGGAGGAGAAGGAGGCAGTGAAGGGGTGTGAATACAAACTAAGAATGGAAATGGGAAAGAATGTATTTGTGAGCACAAGTTGAGAAATTAGCACTGAGAGGGAAATACTACTATAAAAGCCAAAGAAGGATAAGATGGTGGGTAATAAAAAAGAAATATTTTGTGAAGAGGAGAAGGGAAGTCGATATAAAAAGGTTATATCATATAAAGATAATAGTATACATGAAATTGTCTGTCTTTAGAAAGGACAGCTAACTTTGGATTGGGGAGTTGAAAAAAAATGAGAAAATATGCAACATAGGATTTTTTTTTAATCAATATTTTTAGTATGATATTCTGGCGTAGTTAAGGGTTAGGTATACAAATGTGCTTCGTTCAGTCACCCTTGTTGATAAGAGGTGTCTCCTCATCCCCAGACAGATATTTACTACCGTTAATCCCATCTCCCTTCCCCTTCCCCCCCCAAAGTTTCCTACCACTGTCAGTCATTTTCTTATAGTATTATGTTGGATGTTCAAGGTCCACTCTATGAGTGAGAACATGTGATACTCAGATCTTTGTTTCTGTGAGATATCACTCAGTATTATAGACTCTAGTTCCATCCAGGTTGCTGCAAAATTCATGATTTTGTTCTTTTTTATGGCTGTGTAGTATTCCATTATGTATATATACCACATTCTTTTAACCAGTCCTCTTTTGATGGACAGCATGGTTGTTTCCAGGTTCTTGCTATTGTGAACAATGCTGCGATAAACATACATGTGCAGGTATCTTTTTTATAAAGTGATTTGAGTTATTCTGGGTGTATTCCCAGTAGGGGGATTGCAGGGTCATATGGGAGGTCAATATAAATATTGACCTTTTAGGAATCACCATACTGTTTCCCACAGAGTTTGCACTAGTTTTCACTCCCACCAACATTGTAGAAGTGTTCCCTTTTTGCCACACCCTCTCCAGCAACTGTTATGTTTTGAGTTATTGATAATTGCCATTCTGACTGGAGTTAGGTGGTATCTCAGTGTGGTTTTGATTTGCATCTCCCTAATGATTAGTGAGGTTGAACATTTTTTCATGTGTCTGTTGGCTGCTCAGATGTTTTCCTTTGAGAAGTGTCTGTTCATATCTTTTGCCCATTTTATAATGGGGTTGTTTATTTATTTATTTTTTTCTTTAATTTGAGTTCCTTGTAGATCCAAGATGTTAAGCCTTTGTCAGACCTGGAGTTGGCAAATACTTTTTCCCAGTCTGTAGGCTGTCTCCCTGCTCTCTTGATGGTTTCTTTGGCTTTGCAGAAGCTAGTCAGTTTAATGAGGTCCCACTTATCTATCTTATCTCTTATGGCCTGTGGGTTTCGGGTTTTGTTCAAGAATTGGATGCCAGTTCCAATTTCCATGAGGGTATGTCCTTCATTTTCTAAGGTTCTTATGGTTTGAGGTTTTACATTTAGGTCTCTGATCTATTTAGAGTTAATTTTTGTGTATGGGGATAGATAGTGGTCCTGTCTGAATCTTCCGCATGTGGTCAGCCAGTTTTCCCAGCACCATTTACTGAATAGGTTCTCCTCTCCCCAGTGGTAGGTGGTGGAGGCTTTGTCAAAGATGAATTGGTTGAGAAATTGAGGTTTTGCTTCTGGAATCTCAATTCATTCCATTGGTCTATATGCTTGTTCCTGTACCAATACCAAGCTGTTTTGATTATTGTAGCTTCTTTTTTTTTTTTTTTTTTTGAGTTGAGTCTCACTCTGTCACTCAGACTGGAGTGCAGTGGCTGCTCGCAGCCACCGCAGCCTCGCCTACTAGGCTCCGGCGATCCTTCTGTCTCAGCCTTCCAAGAAGCCAGAACTACAGGTGTTCGCTACCATGCCTGGCTGATTTTTTTTTTTTTTTATTGTAGAGATGAGGTCTCACTGCCCAGGCGGGTCTTGAACCCGTGGGCTCAGGCAATCCACTCACCTCAGCCTCCCAAAGGCATGGGATTACAGGCTGAGCCACCAAGCCCAGCTGATTATTGTAGCTTTATAGTAAAGTTTGAATCAGATAATGTGATACCACCTGCTTTGTTTTTTTTTTTTTTTTTTTTTTTTTTGCTCAGGATTGTTCTGACTATTCTTGGTCATTTGTGTTTCCATATGAATTCCAATGTTGTTTTTTTCTAGGTCTAAGAAGAATGTTGCTGGTAATTTGATGAGTATTGCATTAAATCTGTAGATTGCCTTAGGTAAGATGGACATCTTCACAATGTTGATTCTTCCAATCCATGAGCATGGGATATTTTTCCACTTATTTGTGTCATCTTTGATTTCTTTGAGCAGTGTTTTTTAGTTTTCATTGTTTCTGGTTAGGAAGATGCCAAGATATTTCCTTTTTTTTTGTGGCTATTGTGAATGGAATTTAGCTTTTTATTTGGGTTTCTGTTTGTTTATTATTGGTGTAAAGAAATGCGATTGTCTTTTGCACATTTATTTTATATCCTGAGACTTTGCCAAAGTCCTTTATCAGTGTAAGGAGGTTTTTGACAGATTCTCTTGGGTTTTCAAGGTACACGATCATGTCCTCTGCAAAGAGAGATAGCTTGACTTCCTCTTTTCCTATTTGAATACCCCTGATTGCCTTCTCTTCTCTGATTGCTCTAGCCAGGACTTCCAGTACTATATTGAACAGGAGGGGTGAGAGTGACCATCCTTGTCTTGTTCCAGTTTTCAGGGGAAATGGTTCCAGTTTTTGTCCATTTAGGAGTATGCTGACTGTGGGTTTCTCGCAGATGGCTTTTACTATTTTGAGGTATGTTCCCCATATGCCTAGCTGTTCGAGGGTTTTTATCAAGAAGAGATGCTGGATTTTATCAAAAGTTTTTTCTGCATCTAATTATATAATCATGTGGCTTTTGTTTTGACATCTGTTGATGTATTTAATTACATTTATAGTTTTACAAATGTTGAACCAGCCTTGCATCCCAGGAATGAAGCCTACTTGGTCATGATGAATAATTTTTGAGATGTGTTGTTGAATCCGGTTCGCTAGGATCTTGTTGAGAATTTTAGCATCTATGTTCATCAAAGATATTGGCCTGTAGTTCTCTTTCTTTGTTGGGTCTTTACCTGACTTGGGTATCAATGTGATGTTAGCTTCATAAAATGATTTGGGGAGAGTTCCATCTTTCTCAATCGCCTGGAATACCTTCAATAGGATTAGTATAAGCTCCTCCTTAAATGTCTTGTAGAATTCTGCTGGAAAGCCATCTGGTCCAGGGCTTTTTTTTGTAGGTAGTTTTCTTATTACATAGTCAATTTCCTTGATTGTTATTGGTCTATTTAGGGTCTCAATTTCTTCTTGTTTCAAGCTAGGCAGGTTGTGTGATGACAGAAAGTCCTCCATTTCTGAAAGATTTTCAAGTTTGTTTCCATACAAGTTTACATAGTAGTCTCTAATGATCTTTTGTATTTCTTTAGGATCAGATGTGACTTCATCTTTTGTGTTTCTAATTGTGTTTATTTGGACTTTTTCTCTCATTTTCTTGGTCAGTCTAGCTAGGGGACCAACCATTGATCCTGTTTATTCTTTTGAAGAACCAGCTTTTTGTTTCATTGATTTTTTTGTATTATCTTTTTGTCTTCTATGTCCTGGATTTGGGCTTTTATTTTCATGATCTGGATTCTTCTGCTGAAGTTAGGGTTTTTGTGGTCTTGCTTTTCCAGCTTTTTTAGGTGGCTTCTTAGGCTGTTAATTTGTGATCCTTCCATTTTCTTCATGTGTGTTTGTAGGGATATACATTCCCCTTCTACTACAGCTTTCATGGCATCCCAGAGATTTTGGTAAGATGTTTCTTCATTTTCTTTTGTTTCCAGGTATCTTTTAATCTCTGTTTTGATTTCATCATTGACCCAGGAGTTGTTTAGCATCATTCTGTTTAGTATTCATGTCTTTGTGCATTTGGAGGGGACCTTGTTGGTGTTAATCATTGTTTTTATTCCACTGTGGTCCGAGAAGGTGCATGGTAAAATTTCAGTCCTTTTAAATTTGCTTATGCTTGCTTTATGGCCAAGTATGTGGTCGATCTTAGAATACCTTCCATGCGGTGATGAGTATAATGTGTATTCTTTGGTCTTTGAGTGGAGGGTTCTGTAGGTATCAATTAAGTCCATTTGATCAAGAGTCACATGAGGTTTCGGATCTCATTGCTGATTTTTTGTCCTGATGATCTGTCTAGTGTTGTGAGTGGGGTATTAAAGTCCCCAGCTATGATGGTATTGGGGTCAATATCTTTTTTTAGTTTACTTAGGAGCTGCTTTATGAAAGTTGGTGTTCCTATGTTTGGTGCATATATGTTTAGGATGGATATTTCTTGT